TGAGCTATTTCAGAAACACTGAGCACTTCAGAAACCAATCCAGGTCTTGGCTGCAGTGCTAAATTCAAAATGCTTCGAAAGTCAATGTATTCTTATCACATTGGCACTAAAAGCTGCCCTGCCTGATGGGAAGCAGAGTGTGACATTTCCTTAGCCCCCTTGGTGTGATATGCCTGCTGCTGCGGAACTACTAATGTGTCTGATTATAAGGTGACCCCTGACCCTGATTTGGGCATCACACTATTTATAATTTGTGCTCTATCTTCCTCAAATCTGAAAAACTTCCGATGTCCACAAAGCCTCTGGGACCTCAGGGGTTGGATTCATTGAGGACCTGGGTGACAAACCTCACTGCTCCCGCCACCTGCCTCGGCTCTTTTATGTTCAGGGCAACAAAGCCTTAGGGACAGAGCTGTTGCTCTGTTCTCAGTGGCTTTAATTGTCTTCTCTGTCCTTTTTCTTTTTTGGTGGCACCAGGGATTGAATTCGGGACCTTGTGCTTGCCAGGCAAGCACTTATTCTATTGAGCTATCTCTCCAGCCCCTGTCCATTTTTAAATACTTTTACTTTGTGTGCTATGTAACATTAAAAAAATATATTTCTTTATTTATTTGATACAGTGTCTCGCTATGCAGTTCAGACCCATAGTGATCCTCCTGTCTCATCCTCCCCAGTGCTGGGATTACAGGGGTGCACCACCACGCCCAGTCTCAATGGTCAGCATGTCCCATTGGGGGTTCTGAGGCCAGCATGGCATGCCGTACCAGGGATCAAATCTGGGTTCTTACGCTTGCCAGGCAGGTGCTTAGACTGCTGAGCTGTCTCCCCAGCCTCCTATATAATTATTATTTTTTTTTAAGATCTATTTTTTAGAGCAATTTGAGACTCACAGCAAAACTAAATGGAAGGGGGCCAGGGAGATGGCTCAGTGGAATAAGTGCTTCCCTGGCAAGTGCAAAGGCCTGAGTTCAATCCCCGGGTCCACCAAAACAAAAAAACAAAAAACTAAATGGAAGACCGAGATTACGTATACATTCCGCCCCCCAAACCATACACTGCCGTCCGCATTATCAACATTGTCAATCAGAGTGCGCCATGTACTAGAGTGCACGACCCTACACCACTGTGTCCTTATTCTCACAGTTCATTGGTTGAAGAGTTCGCTTTTGGTGTTGCACATTCTGTGGGTTTGGGCAACTCACTTATTTCAAACCTGCTTCTCCCAATACCCCAATAAGCAGACAGAACAACAGAAGGGAAAAGCAGGGCCCAGGGAAGTGAACAAGCTTACCGCAAACTACCCCGCAGTCCAGTGGCAGAACCAGTCCTTATTTCATGATTGGTGCAGAAGAAAATGAAACCTCTCCCCTCAGCTCCAGAGACAGAGACCTTGCCAAAGAAGCCAGGTTCTCCTTCTGCAGTTTGCAAGCCCGAAGGGGCAGTGCAGAGAGTCCCAGGCATTGCCCCTTGTGGGGCAGCAGTCAAACCTCTTAACAGATCCACAGCAGCTGTGGAGAGGCCTTCTTGGGCAGGTGGAGGGGAGCCTGTGGGCAGAGGCTTGATTGTAGGAGGGAGTGGGGGCCACACAGCCACGGCTGAGCATCACCCTGCTCCCCCATCCTGCATCCTGCCCGCCCCCCCGCCCCTCCAGGCTGTGACCCGCCCCGCGCTGCCCGACCCGCACTTCTCACACCCGCAGCCCCCTAAATGCTTGGAGCCGCCATCCCACCCCGAGGAGCCCAGTGATCTGGAGGAACTGGAGCAGTTTGCCCGGACCTTCAAGCAGCGCCGCATCAAGCTGGGCTTCACGCAGGTCTGGGACCACTTGCCGGCCGGGGAAGTGGGCAGTGTGAGGGGCTGTGTGGCCTGTGGGTTGGCAGGATAGCCAAGTGCCAGGGGGCGCTCCCCTGACCTCGGCCCCATTTCCGCCCCACCGGCCCAGGGTGACGTGGGCCTGGCCATGGGCAAGCTTTATGGCAATGACTTCAGCCAGACGACCATTTCCCGCTTTGAAGCCCTCAACCTGAGCTTCAAGAACATGTGCAAACTAAAGCCCCTCCTGGAGAAGTGGCTCAATGATGCAGGTGAGGCTGGGCCGGCCTCCCGGTCCCGGAGGGCAGGGCATGGGTGGGAGGTGGCGGGGAGGTGGCTCCTGAAGCCCATGCCTTCTCCCTGGCGCAGAGACTATGTCTGTGGACTCAAGCCTGCCCAGCCCCAACCAGCTGAGCAGCCCCAGCCTGGGTTTTGACGGGCTGCCCGGCCGGAGACGCAAGAAGAGGACCAGCATCGAGACGAATGTCCGCTTCGCCTTAGAGAAGAGTTTTCTAGCGGTGAGATCTCACCCTCCGGGGGGGACCAGAGGGACGGCGCAAGGAAGGGCTGGAATTAAGCGGCCCTCCGTCCCCAGAACCAGAAGCCTACCTCAGAGGAGATCCTGCTGATTGCCGAGCAGCTGCACATGGAGAAGGAAGTGATCCGAGTCTGGTTCTGCAACCGACGCCAGAAAGAGAAACGCATCAACCCCTGCAGCGCGGCCCCCATGCTGCCCAGCCCGGGCAAGCCGGCCAGCTACAGCCCCCATCTGGTACTGACAGCCCGCGGGGCGGGGAGGGCAAGCTGGACAGGCGCCTGGGTGAGGCAGGCCTCCCCGGAGGCCCAGAGCCTAGAACTGGGGCTAAGAGGCTTTCTCTTGAACACAGGCCATCAGACAGGAACCGTGGCCACCCGGGACACACATTTTTCAGGTCTTATGTGGCTTTCGAGCACACATGGACGCGCACTAACAGGGCCAGTTATCACGGGGACGGAGCCACGCCGGGATGGGTGTGCGCACCCAGGGCGTGGTCTGGGGAGGGATACTCAAGTAGCCACACAGAGCCTGGAAGAGGTGCTTGCTTCCGTGGTGGGCACCCCATTGTACCCAAGGAGGTCCCACCAGGATCGCAGCTACACGCAGGCCTGCTTGGTACTGCGCGCCTCTGGAACGTCCTTTATTCCATCCCTGTATTTCAATTCATGGAGAGCACTAGGGTGCTCCTGAGAAGGGTCCCCTGCCCCATATTCTACAGGAAGGAGGGACCTTCTCAACCAAGATGTAAAAGATAAGAGAATTAGCCAATCACATGGAAAAGAGCTTTGGGGGCGGGGGAGGACCAGTCTGCAAGAAACCCTAGTAGAGGGCTGCTGAGATGGCTCAGAGGTCTAAAGCACCTACTTAGAACAAGCTAAGCTCAAGCTAAGCTCAAGCAAAGCACAGGGACC